CTCTTGATTTAAAAGTTTAAATACTGGATTCATGAAGTCCATCAATTTTGTTGGAGCATTTGTTAACTTAAGGGGACGTTTGGTAGAGGAGAAATTTTATTTTACTAGGAAAATACAATTACTAAGGATTTGATCGAAAAATGAGTTTAATAGGAAAGTCCAAAAAAAGTTGTTTGGTTGGCCAAAATTTTACCGAAAAAATTGGATTAAATTTACTGAGTCTATGTTTTCTTGAAAGTAAAAAAACTGATGAGAAAATAAGTTCAAATTACGAAATAACCCTTAATATTTGAATTACAACTATTGTTGCCTAATAAAGTAATCGTTGTGCAGCATGGCTCTTCAGTTCCAATGATGAAGAAGAAGGCAATATTTTATACAAACTTTCAATTAGATTCCCTTCTACATCTATAAAAGAGATGCTCTTGAAGAATTTCTAGAAATTAACTTGATCAAAGCCATGAGAGCAGCCTCATGCTCACTCCCTGATGTTGTGCTAAGCATGTCAACCAATGACTGAATGACCTGTTTAGCTAATTCTGAGTCCCTAATGTTCTTAGCATCAAAAAGTTCATGAAGTGCTCTTGCTGCATTATATGTAGCCTTTTCTTGACCCAAGACGCAAAACAGCTATCATTTGGTTCAATTAACTTGTTGACGCTTCATGTTTAACAAGGTCAGAATTGCAAAATATTATTCTCAACAACTCTAAAATAGTGGACTCGATTGAGTCTTGAGGTCTTAAGGACAGGTATTTTTTCAAAGCTTCCAAAGCTCCAACTTCAGCCAGGATAAATTTATTTTTATCACTTTCGTCTGTAATGGATATTAAGAATCTAAAATTCTCTTAAATTGCCTGCAAAGCAAGCCATGACGTCCATTGACACATGAAGCCCTAACATGTTTCAAGATAGAGGAGTTATTCTTTGTTTATCTATGTAGATATTGTTGAGTATAGATAAATTTGAAAATAATCTTTCTTTTAGTTTAAAGTAATGAAATGTAAAGTCATCTATGAATGAGCGAATGATTGTAAAGTTGTGTATTCTTAATGGAACTTCAAGATCATGATCAGCTTCCATTGTTGCTATTACCATTTTCAAGTGGCACAATATAAATGATGACTACATTTCCAATGAAGGAATGTGTGTTAACGTATACAAATGAAAACATGGTATACAAAACTAATTTCATTACATAATATTTTTTTGGGAAAAAATGTAAATATATTAACCCAAAGAGATATACAAAATAGACGGGGCATACCCCGCGGAATCAAAATAAGACATATGCACACAGTGCAGGAGCCTGAGCTAGTCCACTAGGAGCACGTGCCTGATACAAATGGGACAAGTGAGATTGCCTATAAACAAGAAATTTGACCTTGTTAATTACATCCTCAACCAAAAAGGGAGAGTGATCAAAAACCAAAATGTTTCTGCCCAACCAGATACTGTATACAGTCATTGCTAGCACCAGACACCTGGTCTTTCCCAAGGTGCCAGAAAAAGCTTTGGCACGAATGAGATGGTTGATGCACCCCTAAAGATAAATAAACATGCGGGTAAATGGAGACCAATCACGAATTTCCTTCCAAATGCGGGTGGTCTGAGAGCAAAGGAAGAATAGATGTGCATGAGATTCTTCAGTCATGTGGCATAGGGGACAAGCCGAATCAATATCCAAGAATAGAGCTCTATCCAATGTGAGAAGCTTTCGCTTCACAGCCAACCAAAAAATAAAAGCTACCTTGGGAGGAACTGCAGGATTCCAAACAACCTTGTGCCAATGTACAATCTGTTTTGGTTGTCTGAAATAATTGTAGGCTTTGCTAGCAACAAGAGAATCAATAGAAGTCCAAGAGCAAATGACTTGGATCGCCCCTTCCTTATGGTGCTCACGGTTCAAAAGAAGATCTCTAATCAAGATGATTTTCTTGAACAAAGGATAGTCAGAGTGGGAAGGGACATGTTCCCAAATATTACCTTCTTGGAGATAGTGGCTGTGGACCCATTTTATCCATAAAGAGTCTTTCTTGGCATGAATGTCCCATAGAATCCTAGTAAGCAAGGCAAGGTTCCACTCCTTAAGACTAAAAAGGCCAAGGCCCCCTTCTTGCTTCGGACAATAGATTTTCGCCCAAGAAACCAATGGTTTAGACATGCTGTTATTTGGTTTACCCCACAAGAAATTCTGGCAAATAGCGTTAATCCGACTGATGACTGAAACAGGGAGAGGAAAGATTCCCATCCAAAAATTGGTAATACCCTCGATGACTGCTCTAATAAGCACAAGTTTCCCTGCATAAGAAAGTGTCTTTATATTCCAGCCTTGAGCAAGGCTCATAATCTTAGATAAAAGCGGGTCATAGTGAATGACACTTAATCTAGAAGATAGCAAAGGCACTCTGAGATACCTGAAGGGGAAGGAACCCAACTCAAACCTTGTGAGGCGCTGCACCTCAGCTAGGGAATCAGAATCCATACCAGCTGAATAGATGGCGGATTTATCAGCACTAATGGATAGACCCGAAACTGAGCAAAAGTGGGAGAGCCTAGCAAAGATAGTAGTAACCGAAGGCACGTTTCCCCTAGACAGGAGCATAATATCATCCACGAAAGCCAAGTGAGATATTTTCAAATCACAGCAAGCAGGATGAAACTGAAAGTTAATATTGTCCTCGAGGCTACTCAAATCTCTCGATAAATACTCAAGACAAAGAACAAAAAGATAGGGGGAAAGGGGATCACCTTGCCTCAAACCCCTACCCCCTTGAAAGTGACCATGAATTGAGCCATTCACCACAACGCTAAAGGAAGTAGTTGAGACACATTCCATAATCCAGTCGGTGAACCTGGAAGGAAACCCAATCGAGGCAAGCATCCACTTAAGAAAACACCAGGAAACAGAGTCATATGCCTTGTGGAGATCAATTTTCAGTAGGCACCTGGGAGAGATCCTTTTCCGAAAATACTTTCTAAGAAGCTCTTGAATGAGGAAAATATTATCTATCATATTCCTATTCTTGAGGAAAGCAGACTGAAAAGGGCTAATGATGTGCTCCAGGACAGGAGCAATACGGGCTACCAGGATCTTAGAGATAATCTTGTACAAAACATTACAACAAGATATAGGCCGAAAATCTTTTACTTGATTGGCATGATCCGATTTAGGAATAAGAGCAATAAACGCATGATTAATTTGCTTGAGCAGTTTCCCTGAAATAAAGAATTCATTCACAGCTTCATAAATGTCATCACCCAAAATGCTCCAAGATTTTTTAAAGAACAGGGAGCTGTAGCCATCAGGACCCGGGGATTTATTATCATCCATGGAGGATAGAACATTCCATACATCTTGCTTGGAGATTGGAGCCAGCAAGATGTCAAAACTAGAGCTGGGGACCTTCGGACCTGCCTCACAGATAGCAGAAATAGGGGCATAATCAGTATTAGAAACTTGAAACAACTTACTGAAGTGGAGGACAAAAGCCTCAGCTATCTCAGACTAGGAGGAGGTAGGTTGCCCATTTGGTAAGGCAATAGCTGCTATAAACCGAGCATGTTTTAAACGCTTGATATAGGCATGGAAGAAACTAGTGCATCTATCAGATTGAATCAAATACCGGTTTTCAAGATCTGAGCTGTTTGGACATGCTCAGCTTTGCGCAGATGCATTATCTGATGCCTGCTATTGTCAGCAAGGCACAACAAATTCGGATCAGTGGGATGCTGCTGGAGAGAAAGAAGGACTTGATTATATTCAGATTCTGCTTGATCAATCCTAGAAGACAGCTTGTTGAGTTCCCTGCTAGCAAGTGTTTTAATAGGTCCTTTGAGGGCATTTAATTTCTTGCAAACAACCCACATACGGTAACCAAGAAGATTTCCCTCCCAACCAGCGGATACTACATCTAAGAATTGGGGAAGAGAAGCAACAACATTATTGAACCTGAATGGGGCTCTTGCCTCTCCTAAGTGTGTTGTTGGTGTTGACAATTAAGGCAGCATGATCGGATACAGATTCAAAATCCGATATTTGACAATTAGAATTTTCAAAATGAGCATTCCAGCTGGTGTTACATAAGGCCATATCAATCTTGCTCCAGATCCTGCCATTTGTCCAAGTAAAAGTAGACCCATGAAAATTAAGATTGGATAAACCCAAATCTGTGCAACACTCATTAAAATCCCTGATTTCATAAGCGGAAACATCAGCCCCATATAATCGTTCATTAGGAGATAATACGCTGTTGAAATCCCCTAAAATTAGCCAAGGGGAGTCATTGGTGGGAGATAAACTAGCTAGACTGGACCACATAGCTCTTCTGGCAGAAATGGAGTGCAGTCCATATGTAAAAGTGACCAGAAATTCTTGGTTGGTTTCCTTGCAAATGCATGAGCAATGGATAATTTGAGTTGTACAACATATCACAGATAAAGTAGATTTGTTAGCTTTCCATAACAAAATAATACGACCAGCATTGTGGGATAATAAATTGTCAGAAAAATTCCAATCTTTGAACTTCTTGCACATAATATTGTTTACAGAGACAGAATCCAGCTTTGTTTCCAAAATAGCCATGATATCAACTTCTTTAGTGCGAAGAAATTTTTGCATTGCACTATGCTTTAGAGGCATGTTGAAGCCTCTAATATTCCAAGAGGATATGATCATATAGATGGAGAGGGGATAAGATCCCCAGCACCGGTCTTTGAATTATTTTTTGATCTTATCTTCATTGCCTTCAAAGGCTGCGGGCAGTTTTTTTTTTCCCTACGCAGAACTGGTTCCTTCAGATTAATTATCTTCAGATTTAAATCTGACTAATTGGCTGCAGCTGCACTATCCATTATTGAACCGAATTGACTAGCTTGAGGGGCATTGGAGGTAATAGGTTGGGCAGAACAATTAGTGCCAACTTCTTTGGCAGAGGACGTTGGCAGTTTTGATTTCCCAATATCTCCAATTAAAGGCTTGGATGACCGATCAGTACCCACTTAGAGAGATTTATTCGCTGGAGAGCTGATAGGACATATAGAGGGGGACAAAGGCAGCTTTGATTTCCCATCAGCAATATTAGGAGCAGATGCTGCAACATTCATGATAGGAGGAAAATCGTACACCTGGACAAGCTTCTTCACGGTTTTGAAAGATCTGCCTGGCAGTTTGGTAGACTGCAATTTCCTCACCGTAGCTCTAAGTTTCTTCCTTTTAGATTTGGAAGAAACAACAGTGAAGCCCCCATTGGTAACTGTCAAAGGAGTACCTAGGGGGAGATGAATCTGACCCTCAGTCAAAGTTTTCCCAAAAGGCTGGTCCAAAGCTTCCAATGCTGGTTGCAAGACTGCCTCGGTTTTTTTAGGTGCCTCCACCGAGCCTTTTGTTTTGGGTGCATAAGTGCAAGAACCCATTTCATGTCCTATAGTTTTACAGTAGGAACAGAAAGTTGGTTCATTTTCATACTCCACCGGTTGCTTAATCACATTACCATCGGGTAGTTGGATGAACACCACCTGAGTTAAATCTTTGGATGCATCAACCTCCACTAATGCATGGGCAAAAGAGATTGAACCCGTAGTGGCTATTAGGTGATCGGTTCTCAAAGGTTTTCCTATCTTGCTAAGAATCTTGCCAAGAGCCTTTTTCCTCCATAGCTCCAGAGGTAGGTTCCTCAGCCTAATCTAAACTGGAATTTTGCTAAGTTCCTCATCACCAAAGTGGAAAAAAGGGGGCACTGGTTTCAAAAGGAGAGGGCTCTTAAAAACAAAGTAAGGACCAACTTGGAGGACCTTGTTCATGTCCTCCTCGGTAAGAAACCTGAAGATTAGCCATCCGCTGGAATGAGGAGAGTATGAATACTTCACTCCCCATTTCCTACAAACATTAAGTAGAGCTTTGAGGCCCGAAAATTTCCCAGCTATATACCCGATCAAACAAAAGCCAATAGTTTCATCAATGGCTTGCACATCTCCAAGTTCGACTATGAGCTTGTCATCTGAACTTGAAGGCTCAATTTCATCGCTCCACTGGTGGCCTTTATTTTCTGATCTATTGTCTTTGAAAAGATTGGCCCATGGAGCAATTGGGAGTATTGGCTGCTGAATTTTGGATTCACCCGCTCCATTAGAGTTGCCCTCCACTTTTTCAGTGACGGAATCGTCCACTCCTAGAGTTACAGAAAGTTCTGAGGATACTGCTTGTTAGGAACTAGGAGTCACATTATGGGAGTTCAAATTCGCTGAAGAATCCTCAGAATCAGAACAGTCTTCTGGTTGGAGATTTTCATCAAACACTTGGTCTGCAACCGGCAGGATGCTCGAAGGGCTGGGAACCTGTACTGTGGGACTAACCTCTACATCCTCAGCGGCTGCAGTGACACCCTGCACAATGGTGCTTGGTTTTTTCTTTCTGTTCTTCCCCATTTCGGGGACAACGATATATCAATTATACCCAGACCACAAAAAGATACAATAAATAAGTCACCAACCGAAGTAAATGTGACTAGAAAGAGACAATGACCCCACCAGCAGGTTTTTCTCCAAATCAAATGAGGGTGGACGTGGCAGACGAATAAACAAAGTGAGAAGCTTACCCACCGAATAAATGCCAAAAGACCCCACCAACAACCTCCTTATCCTTCGTGATAAATAAAACTGAATGAAAGCTGCTCACCCACCGTTTACAGGTCAAGGTGGCCCCACAACGGACCACGAAACTGTTCACAAGTGTGCCACAAAAAGCGATCAAGCAGAAAGCCCATTAACTGCAGAGTCAACAAGAAAAGGAATAAGTTTCAATGTGAATTAGTAGCACAACACGAGCAGAGGAACTTGCTACACGTGGCTGAAGCTGAGATTCAGAAGCCAGCCCATGTGTAGCAACCTAGAACCAGGAAGCCAACAGTGCGTTGAACCAAACCGAGCAGAAAAAATCGAGAAGAAGCCAGAGTCAAATCGATGCAATCACAAGAAACAAACCGACTTCCCTTCAGCAACCAAGCTACACAATGGAGAGGTTACCCACCCACAATGGCTGGGCCACAGGGGATCTCCCTATGGTGGGTTGGTTCTCCACGGATGAGTGGCCTAGGGTTCGAAAAGGAAAAAATCCTTTGTATCTCCTTGCCTAATTTCATTACATAATCTTCTCATACAAAAGGGATAGCCATGTCTCAAAATGTTAATAAAAAGGAGGTGACAGAGTCTGTGTGATTGACGGGTCAACATTTAGTGCATCACTATTAAGCATTCTTGAAGCCACTGAGATGATGCCTGACATTCACAATTATATGGTCCAAATGACTAAGCATCTCAACAACCAATCATATAATCACAAATAGTAACCAAATCATGTTGTAATATATATAATCATAGTTGGGTTTTGAAGGAGAATTAGGCAACAGGGAATATGTGAATTTCACAACAGATTGTCTAATCTTGTATACTTCATAAATAAAATTTTGCTTGTAATATTAAAAACTGGATAATGTCAAGTGCAGATCTGTTGAGGCACATGAGGCCAAGAAATATGTTGTAACTCAATACTACGACAAGAGATAACTACGAAAATATTGAAAATATTTCAAATAAACAGGAGAAAAAAGAACTTTGTATTGTTGATTCAATGTCAGACTGGTGCTTGTAAACTTGACCACAAGCCAAATCGTCAACAACTTAATCACAGAATCAAGAACCATCCATTCGGATCTCACTACCATTTGGATTACGTGGATTTGCATTATATAGGCTTCCATTTGGATTCAGTGTGTGGTTTAGAACATGCAAAACCACTTGCAATGATCGTTTGGAGATCTTGTGCAACCCAGAAACGAAAAAGTGAGTTCTTACAGTGATAACACACAGATTTGGCAATGGAAATTATCACTTTCACGCTAGGTTAAGAGAGGGTATATTTGTTCGGTCCTTCGTCCTTTATCCCTCATTTAGCTGGTTATCGTGAAATACCACATGAGAAGTGGGTATCTAGCACAATATGTTTTGACCATTTTTCCACACAATACTGAAAGGCTAGGCAACTAAGTTTGGTAGGAAAATTTTGTATTCTCTTTTACCAAACATGGACAACACATAATACCACTCTCAGATGCCTGGGTATCCTCTAAAAAAACTTGTACCAAACACCACCTAAAGGATATGACCAAGAATTCATAATGTTCAAAATGGAAACGAAAAACGGTCTTTGGTATATATTAATCCCTAATTCATAGTTAGTGATATCTTGATCACAAATCAAATTTAGAGAAAAATTGTGCACCTTGGAACTAATCAAACAAATAATCAATTTGTTGAAGAGGATATTTTTTGTGTATTGTCACCTTATTTAGTTGGCAATAGTATATGCATAATGGCATAGTCTCGTCTTTCTTCTTAGCGAAAATGATAGGGACTCCTCAATGTGAAGTACTTAATCGAATAAGACCTTTATCTAATAATTCTTGTAAAGTTGGACTTTCAGCTCTTTTAATTCAATAAGCCATTTGCTAAGGAGGAATAGATATTGGAGAGGAAGCAACAACTACATCAATACAAAACTCATTCTCACGGTGTGGAGGTAATCCAAAAAATTCTTTTGGAAATACATCTAGAAACTCCTTAACAACCAATATTTGTTCTAATTTAATCACTGGTTTATCAACATTTGTAATTAGAGCTAAAAAACCTCGACATCCTCTATGTAACATCTGTCATGCACATAAGGTTGATACTACACGTACTGGATCTAAGCTGCAATTGCCTTGGAATTGGAATGGTTCACCTCTTAGAATATCGAGAAAAAAAATCTTCTACGACAATCAGTAGTAGCATGGCAAGAGGCTAGCCAAACCATTCTAAAAATTATATCAAACTGCAACATATCCAATAAAATCAAGTTTGCCATAGACTTTTTGTTGGTAATAGAAATCTCACCATGTTTACAAATATATTTTAATAAGATGAATTTTTAAACTGGTGTGACTACTAGAAAATATTTTCTAATAGAGTGGGATCTCTACAAAATTGGATAGAAAAACTCGGAGACATGAATGTGTAGATCTTGAATCAAACAACACACGAGCATTTAATGAGCATATTAGAGCTTACGTGATATCACTGCATTAGATGCTTAATCTTGCTACTTCCTGAAAAGTGCATAGAAAAGTAGTTAAACAGAAAGTTAGGATTTCATAAAAAGTAAAGGTGTGTTTGAAAATGTTTTAGTTTTTTTGTTTTCAAAAACTGTTTTAAATATGAATTTTAAAAACTGATTTTGAGAGTAAAAAAACAAAAAAACTTGTTTGAGTGTAGTTAAATTAAAGTTATAAAGAAGTTGTAATTATTTACAAAAATGTCATTCATGAAATTTTAGAATTACAAAAATGCCATCTAATATTTACGAAACTGCCATTAATAAAATTTTAGAATTACAAAAATGCCGTCTAATATTTACGAAACTGCCATTAATGAATGCTGATAATTACAATTTTGCCACCGCCTAAAAAAAATCGCAAACAGCGCTTGAGAACATCCTCAAGTTGTTTTGGTTTTCTGGTTTTAAAAACAAAAAAAAAGTCATTGTTTTGGGAAGCATTTTGCAAAACAATTATTCCCAAACAGATTTTTTTATTTTTTTGTTTTAAAAACTTAAAAACTGTTTTTAAGAACAAGAATCAAGCAGACCCTAACTCTTCAGTTCTCAATTTTTGATTATCAAATTAACAAAATTTAACTCCTACAATAAAGGTCATAAACAACTTTTTATAGACTAATTACAAATTGATCCGAAATTCTAAATTCTAAAATCCTAAAAATAAGGAAAAGTCCTAAAATAAATATAAAAGTAATTAACTTCTAAATCATGCCAAATGTGTTGCTTTCCTTTTCTTGCCAAATGAATCAAAATTATATATGCTTCTTCATTTGGACTTGGATTTGATCATAATTTGTTATATTTCAAATTAATGCTTCTTTTAACAATTGGGCTATACTTATTGGACCATAATTCTGGTTGACTCTGGCTTCTTAAATTAATGATTGAGCCATGTGCAATGGGCCAACTGTAAGTGCATCATTCTCCACTGCTAGAAAAAGATTCATCCTCAAATCTTCTTTATCTTCTTTGATTTCATTCACTTTAGGTAGAAACTGAAATGGCAATTCTTCTTAAATTAAATCTTCATCATCTAATTCTCCATTAGATTTATTATAAACTATATAATCATCGTAGATTGGATAATCATCATAAATCAGATAATCATCAAAAATTGAATAATTATCATAAATTGGATAATCATCATGAATTGGATTATCATCATAGACTTCAAAGTCACGAATGTTTAGTTGTATCTCGATTTCTTGAAAAGTGGACAGATTTTCAGGTCGTACTCCCTAATTTCGTCCCTGGTTTAAAATCCTCAAAAGATTGACATCCTTCTTTTCGTTATAAGATGCACCCTCTAATTCAATTCCTTCTTCGGATTGAATGTCCAACTTTGTCCATGCAAGTCGCTATTCCAAAAATTGGATTTTCATGCTTTGCGCCTCTATAAGTTGTCAAACCAAAACTTATATTTTCTCGCTATGTGTTCACTAGTCGTCGCTTCAAATTTTGGATTTTTTTGGCCTGCGCCCGCACAAGCACTCCAAAACTTGGATTTTCTTGTCCAACACTTGCTCAAGTAGCCACTTCAAATCCTAGATCCGTCGTTCGTGCTTTTCATTTTCTATATCTTGCAGGTTCATATGACGTTGTTGTCTGTCTTCTTTAGGAATGAATCTGCATCCCTTGCCATCAGGACTCCGCTATCAATGACCTCTATGATTATGTTCAGCCATTGGTTGAAGGAAACATAGTACTCTGATACCTAATAATGCTGAAAAATGCATAGAAAAGTGGCTAAACAGAAAGTTATGATTTCATAAAAGAGTTATCCTCCTGTTCTCAATTTTTGGTTATCAAAATAACAAAATTTAACTCCTACAATAAGGGTCATAAGCACCCTTTTATAGGCTAATTACAAATTGATCCAAAATTCAAAATTTTAATTCTAAAATCCTAAAAATAAGAAAAATTCCTAAAATAAATATAAAGGTGATTAAATTCTAAAAATAAATAAATCATTCTAATTAAATCATTCAAAATACATCCCAAATCTTATATCTCAAATCATGTCAAATGTGTTGCTTTCATTTTCTTGCCAAACAAATCACAATCATATATGCTGCTTCATTTGGACTTGAATTTGATCGTAATTTGTTATATTTCAAATTATTATTTCTTTAAACAAATGGGCCATACTTATTGGACCACAATTCTGGTTGACTATGGGTTTTCTGAATCAATGATTGAGCCATGTGCAATGGGTCACTTGTAAGTGTGTCACATATGGTATTAGGCGCAACATACATAAATAATAAAGCGAAAA